GGCTGCCTTCGGAGCAGCGGGAGGCCTGGGCCGGAGCGCTGCTCGGTCTCCGGGGTGTTTGTGCCCCGCTGGCTCACCGAGGGGGGGCTGAGGGGCGGCGCGAGGAGCTCGCTTGGCTGCGGCCTCGCAGGAGCTTTATGCCGGCAGAGGTTAAGAAATGCTTCTCGAGTCCCAGTTCAGCAGCAGGAAAGCCGGCCTCCCCTAAATTTAGGAGAACAGCAAATCTCCACCAAAGTTGCCAAACCGGGTGTAAATTCCCACTTTCTAGTCTTTTAGTAGGCCTTGTTTTTTGGAGACGGTTTGCAGCTCTGAGCTTCCCACTGCACACGGCTGAAAATTCATATGTTGTATGACCAAACCTGTGGCGCGTCCTGTCCCATAGGGGCTGCATAACCCCTTTGTGACCAGAGGCGTACCCAACACGTGAATGAAATTCTCGTGTTGCCTACTGCACGTGTGGTGCGAGGCATCCACTTGCCATGTGATTGCAGGGTCACCAGATGTGTCTACATCAGTGCTTTAGTGCAATTCAGGACTCTGCTTTTGAAAAATATTTACTGTTTGTCCCTGCTGACCACACTTTGATTTGCTTTGTGGATCAGCCTGGGAACGCGTGAACTGGGATTCCTTTCAGATGAGACTGACCTGAAGACTGCAGTCCGTCTACAGCTGATGTGCTCCAGCCTCAAATATGTCTGTAGTGTATGAGGCCATGCCGAGGCTAATCTGAAATAAAATAATTCCAGAAACCCAGATACTGTTGTTACCGTATTTTCAGCATTCGCTTTTCCACAGATCTGCTCCTGTTGCTCCACAGTACTTGCTAATTTAGTCTTGGCTTTTTATGTTGTCATGTGCGTGCCTGTATTCCCAGCCACAGAAACAGAATTGATGTTTCCTGGGACTTGGGGTACTTCTGGTGTGTCTGTTGTGAGATGGATATCCATTAATTAATATGGCGATGGTAAGAGGTTGGGGGGCCTTCAAGGAAGGGATGATGTGAACCGGGTTGGCAGCTGGATAAGTTGTTCTGGGGGAGAGCAGTGAGTGTAGCTTGCAGGCCATGGATCAGGCGCAGGAGGCTAGACGAAAGGGTTAGGAAACTGCATCTACACACTGTCTACCCTCGCTGCCTGAGACTGTACCTTGGTAACCTGTGTTTACAACTCTGTTGTCTCAGCTAGAATTGCCCTGTACCATTGTTTCTTGATTAGACATAAATTACCGTAGAGACTTTTTTTATGTCATACTGGCTTTGAATCTGACCCTTTGGGTTGGATGTCATATGGATAAAGCTGTGGTAGTCCAGTTATGTATTTTCTGAACTGCAAAGAAATTCATTACTGTATAACAATAAAATGTTTTTCCGTTTCAAAAGAAGTTGCTTCCCCAAAAGTACTTGGAAAAAGGAAAATGCAGTCAGCTAAAGCTGACTAAGGAAATACCAAAAAGAAAAGGTTTATGGCCAGCAAGTATTGTCTAGGTTTGCATACTTGCACTGTGTTATTTGTTCCATTGTTTCATATATATGTGAAATGTATGCACCGTAATGTAATTACAGCACATAAAGCTATATATTTGTGCCTACATATATACCTTCGCATTTATTCCATATATGTAGCTCTTTAGAAACTGAAGGCTAGGAGTAAGTTTTTCCTGTGTGTACATAACGTGAAAGGCTTTTGTAAATCATACGTTCTCAGTAACACAGATCTTTAATCTTGTTCTCTAAACACTTTAAAGAGATGGAGGAGCTGGCAGAGCATGGTGTTTTCTTGCCTTATAATATGCAAGGACTGACAGAAGAGCAAATTGAAGAACTGAAGTTAAAGGATGAGTGGGCAGAAAAGTGCGTACCAAGTGGTGGAAGTGTCTTCAAGAAAGATGAAATTGGGCGAAGAAATGGACATGGTAAATTAATCATAAATGTTTATTTCTTTCCCTGCAGACATAGATAATCTATAATACAATGAACAACATGAAAACCACAATTCTGGACCTTTCACTTTTACCTCGCTGTCCTGAAAGATGAAAAAAAATGAGTAGATTTTAAGTATACATATTTCAGACCAGCATGTTAGCTGGCTCATGTTTATTTGCTAATTATAAAAATAATCCTATAAATAAACTGTGTTAGAGGTAGTTGTAGATGTGTTATGTGGTAGCTATTTCAAGAGCCTGCTTTCGCAATAGATCAGCTAAAATATAAGTTACAGACGTAAGTCTTCTGTCTTGGATTAGGGCCTGGTGTAATGTTGATTTAAAAGGCTAAGTAGTAGTATATTTCTTCAGCATGTATGTTATTTAACCTTGCAACCGTAGTATGTGGAAGTAAACTCCATAGATCAGTAAACAATTATCAGAAGCAAGTTTGACTGTTTCACTTTAATTTATTCTCCTCATGTGTAAATGCATACTTGTGTACTGTTTTTCTCCAGAGGCTCCAAGATACATTAACAGGTTGTTTGTCTAATATTTCTCCTTTTTTCTTATTCGCTGTGACTCAGACTTACTGAACTCACTCTCATCACTTTTTCCTTCTGCAACTGCAGCCAAGTGGTTTTGCCTTAGCACTTGGTATGTGTATTGAGCGCCACTTTAGAGTCAAGAGTGTGAGGACTGATTGCACAGAAGAGACCGCGATTGTCTTCTAGTTGGCTGTCCCTGTACCCCTGACACCACAACAGCCCTTGTCGGGTCAGCAGCCCTTCAGATATTGATTGTAGGGTAGCTCAGTTAAGGAGGAATTGTTGAATAATTTCGTCTTAACTTGTCATACGCAAACGGCTTACTCCAAGTGTTGTATTTTGGGGAAAATAATTTTTATAACGCAGGATGTTGCCCAGTCAAATATAAGCCTTTGCTGAACTTGATTAAGAGCTTATATTACAGTGAAATGTTTTCCCTCTTAACTGTGTTCTCAGAAATAGCTGCGTGTCTCGTACACAGGCACGTGGACAAAGCCTGTCTTGTCTGGCATGGTCGTGAGCAGTGACGGGCTTTGCAGTAAAAATTTGCAAGCAACGTTAACGTAAGGACAGTACTGTCTGTAGTTGTACTCAGGCATTTATTTGTTAGTGGGAGGACAGCTTTGTAATGTTAACAAAGTTATAATAGTGAACAGCATGTAAACGTGGGCCAAAACTAAATACTATCAAATGATGCATTTAAATGCTCATCTGCACATGACGAGTATGATTTAATTGGATTTTTGTTTCTGAGGAGAGGCTTTTTATAACAAAATAGGTAACTATAATATGAAACACACATTGTATTTGCAAACCTTAGATTGAAATTTTAGTTGGAAAAAAGTCAGAAAACTCCCAAGTTCTTGTCCCCTATTATGCACATCTGCCAGCACAGCCCGCAATAGTCGTAAGTATGGCATGGGAAAGAGAGTCTTGTTTTTTGTTGTGGTGAGTATGAGATTATAGGTGTTGCTTTCTACTCAGTATTTTTGTCCCAAATGAGGCTCCAAATACCAATTAAGTGTCTTTGTGGAAAAGTAAGTTTGCCTCTCCCAGGAGAAATACCATTTTGTTTCTTAAGTTAGTAAGAAATATGGCAGTGAACTAACAAACTGGTAAATAGACTGCAACTTAGTAGTGTCTCTCTTGCCTTGTGGTTTAACAACATTTCATTTGCTTACAGTAGAGATTAACATGGACAAGTTGTTTGCTTGGTTTCTTTGTAGTAAGCATAGACTATTAAATATGTGTCTTTTTTTTGTGTGTGTGTCTAGCTCCAAATGAAAAAATGCAGCAAGTTATAAAGAAGACAATAGAGGAAGCCAAGGCATTAATCTCTAAGGTAAGTTTTCTGAAATAGCACGTGGTATGTGGGACTTTCTTAATAGGTGCTATGTAGTTGGGCAGCTTAAGAAAAAATGGACTTTTTTCAGTGCAAGTGCTAACTAATGATTTTTGAGTAGTATCATGAAGTGATGTGAGCGATCTAATAAAAACTAACGTTTCTGTTAATGATTTTCTTAATGGCTTTTGGCAAGCTGGTTCAACAAGTTAAGGAATCAGGTAATAACCTCCAAGTGAATGCTGGCAGCCGAGACCACATTGAATGATTAAATTGCATTTAATTTTATCCACGTGCTCTTAATTTGCTATTGATGCATTCTTTGGGCGAATGCTTGTCGTGTTTTCTGGTGAAAAATTAACTGCATTCTGTGATGTTCATGGAATAAAATACCTTTTGCTCATTAACATAGTCCTTTGAGTTTTATGTATAATTAATTGAAAAATGTGTTCTAGTCTCTTAGATTAGGCCTTGGTTTTACAAGCACTTGGACTTCTGCTCAGTCCCCATGAGTTTGTGTGTTTAGAGATAAGTGTGAGGGTATGCCCTGATGGGGCTATGGTCTCAATTATTCAACTTCGCTTTACCAAATCTGTAGATGCTCTGTATTGTGCCTCAGCTTTCATATGACTTTGAAACACAAATTAAGTAATATTTATTATCAGATTGCATCTGCAAGTAGTTTTCTTCTCCCTGCCCCTACAGTACTGGGAGCTAGTTTGCTGAAACTTTAAAACAGCTTTAAACCAGTTATGCACTTAGATAGTGTTACTGAATTTTGGTGTTGCTTGTGCTTTTAAATTTGCCTTCTTGGCTGTTTCATTGCTGAAAACAGCATCCTAGCAGTTATTTAGAGTGAGCAGCTCAGTGTTTCCAAAGGCCTTGTGGAGGCAAGCAGAGGAGCTGCCCTGTTGCCTGGAAGTGCTGGAGTGCACTGAGTTGCAGCAAACCTTCCCTGAATTGAGGCAGGATTTCAGCCAAACTGTTCTGAGTCATAGCAAAATCTATGCAAAATGAGAGATGTTTCAGATTAAAGCTTCTGGACTATAAAGATTTTTCCCAGATGAACTTCTTTTTTCTGTTGGATTGCATATTCATCAACTGTTTCTAAACAGGGAGGAAATTAATAATATGTAGTCAAATATACCTTGAGTCGAAAATGCCTGCAGATCTGGTCTCCACTTTGCAGGTCTTCCTGGGTGAAACTTCCAACTATATACCATGTTGTCATTTACAATAAAAAGTCGCAAAATTGCTGCACTGCATGCTGACTTACTCCAGAAATTATGGCCATTCACTGATGAATGAAGTTAAGGATAGTTTGTGAAGTGGTTTGTTAGGTTCCTCACTTTATAATGATGAAAATGAAGAAATATGCCTGTGTATTAAAAAAAAAAAAAAAAGGTTGATCATCTGAGATTGTGAAACCAATTGTACTTGCCAGTTAACTAGTTTGGGAACGTCCACAAGGAGGCAACATTCTCTTACTCTCTTTTTTTTTTTTTTTTTAATAAGCCTTATTACTTAAAATAATGGAACTGTTAAATCTATAAGCAAAACCTTTTTCTTCCCTTCCAGATGCGTCTTATTTTTCCTCTGTCCGTTGCAGGAGGGTTTGGAATGATCTCAAGTATTTGATCTTACAGATCTCTGCACAAGCCGTGTGATATGCCAAGCCTTACTCTTCTGCTCGCATGTGCTCTATTTTTTTTCCTCAAGTTTTAAGCCCCTTCCCCAACCCTTGCTTGAATTCTACTGTTTTGAATCTTGTTCATGAATCACAAGTGCTTGGAACAAAAGACTCCCCATCCAGTTTCTGTTTCTTATTTGAATGCCTGCATCCCACAGACATTTCCTACACAATTTAGCGAAGGATCTCTTACCCCCCACCCAGTGTAAGCAAGATAGATAGAGGGGGAAAAAGTGATGTATTCAAAAGTTGATATTCAAACGAGAAAATCTGTGCTCCTAATAACTTTGTGCAGCCAGTTAGCTTTGCTCAAATATTCCGTTGTTGAACTTTTGAACTGACTACAAAGCAAAGTCTTTCTTCATATTTTTTTGAATTACCAATGATCCCTGCCTGTATTTCAGAAACAAGTTCAGGCCAATGTGTGTGTTAATATGGAGATGGTGAAAGATGCATTGGACCAGCTCCGAGGGGCTGTGATGATTGTGTATCCAATGGGACTGCCTCCCCATGACCCAGTTAGGATGGAGTTTGAAGATAAAGAAGACTTGTCGGGAACTCATGTATGCAGTAACGTGTTTGGACTATACAAGTAGTGTCTGGGTTAAATACATGCTATGTTGTTCTCTATTTTATCAATGAAGGTTGTTTTCTTTTGCATGACAAATTTTATTTAATATTTTTATCTGATAGTTTAGGTAAAAGCACACCAATAGCTTAACTAGAAATAAGATGAATGAAGTTTATTTCAAATGTTACATACAAAGTTCAGGTGAGTCTGGGACTCATTTTAAGTAGCTTGTCATTTCTTTCTAGTGCCAGTATTGGGAATTTATTGCCCGAAGTGTTTATGTTAGATCAAGATTGAATGGAATATGAACAAAAATGCTGTAGATTAGTATGAGGAGAAAGATGTAGCAGAAGTATAGTGTAAAATTACACTCTCTTTTCTGTTAGGAATTCCAGAAAGATTTTGAAAGGTTTTGAAAACAGGCAAAAACCAACCCCCCCCCCCAACACTTCACCTTGTTTGTTTATTTGTCACAGGCTGGACTTGAAGTTATAGAAGAATCAGAAGCACAATTATGGTGGACAGGAAAGGAGTTGAAAGAAACAAAGCTGCTCTCTGACTATGTAGGCAAAAATGAGAAAACAACCATCATTGTCAAGATACAGAAAGTAAGTAAGATTTTTTTCTTAGAGAAAGTAAGATTTCTTTACAAATTACTCACCTTTGGCTGTCTAATTCTCTGTGGAAGAGAATTGTCTGTAGGTGTATAAAATGGATTAGATTAGTTCCGTATTGAGTGTCTTAAAACTGTACATCTATTTTAGGGTTTTAATTTATTATATTCTAAGTTTTTCTTTAGTAATTCCTTTGCCTGTCAGTTAAGTACTGTAGTTGCTATTACTCGCTCTGTAGCACTTTTCTATAGTACAGCAAAATGGTATTTAAAAATAGATGAAATACAAACTGAAAAGTTTAAAAAAACCCCGTCAGCTGGCTCTCAGTGCCATCTCAGTGCAGAGCACCGAACAGACCCAGTCATTCAGTCTGCCTAGTTTTTCTAATTATACCTGCGAATGTTTTTGTCTCCATATTCTGGCTTTTAAAAAACAGTTGTAATGTTTTGTGCATATGTGGTATGGATGCCTCTCATCCCTGTTTCTGTCTGTTCTGTGTCTGAAAGAAGTAACTCAGTAATTTCCTGCCTGTGATGTCCTGAGTTTCTTGATGGCAGGTCCTCAGGCTGTCTCAGTTGCCTGGGAAATGTGGACATGCATCTTCTTTGAGAGCACGCAAGCTGTGGAAGCTCTCCCAAAGCATCCGGTGAGAACTCGCTGAGTGCTCCAAGGAAGAATGAGCTGCTGGGCCCGCACCACCCAGCTGTGCTGCCGGCTCCAGATCACCTAGAGCTCCCAGCTGAAATTTTTTTAAAGAAATGAGACTTTCCAGTTGTCCAATGTGGTGAGGCAGATGTATTAGGCCTTCTGTATTAAGTTGAGAACACAGGTCTGAGTCATCCTCTGGAGCAACGAGCTAAAATGAGGCAAAGATCTCCTGCCACTCCTCAGTTTTATAGACCTGATGCTTCAGCAAAAGCCAGTCATTAAGTGTATACTGGTGTCCGCCACAATGGTCATGTTCTTGCACTATCAGAATTATTACCAAGCTACTGGGAGTGTTCATTATTATTTTGGACAAAGTGGTTTTGTACTAACTGTGCCGTAGTGTTCACCTCTGGTGAGTATGCCATACTCAAGGGAAGAAGGTTTGGTGTTTCAATTCACTTTCAGAGCTTTGTCAGTGGATGCTCACCCTGTTCGTGTGTGTGTGTGTGTGTGTAAATACCACATTCAAAATGTCAAATGTCTCAGAGTACTTATCCGTAGCTCAGAATTATTGTGGAGCTGCATTTAATTTCCATGTCAGTGAGAGCTTCTCTGCCACAGAAAGCATTAATGTTTATGGCAGACGTTATTACCTGCAGGTGTCTGCAATAGAATTGCTCAAAGATGAGTCAAGTGATTTATGTGTTTGTCGTTTAGAAGACCTGAATTGCTTTCTCTTTCCTATCAGGGTGACTGAAAAATTGTGTGACAACTCAACAGCCATTGAAGTATAGGCTCCCAGGAAAGTTGTCTTACTGTTTAATTAGTTGATGGACCTCTTCAGAGAATGCAAAGTAGTACAGTGGTTTTCTGTCTGACAAGGGATGCCTGCATTGTTGGGTTGGAGAGCTAATTTAAACCACCTCAGACCTTTTTTGTTCCAGAGAGGTTTCACCATCTCCGTTCAAACTGTTCTGTTTGCTATTGTTGACAATAGCCGTCATCAGCTATTTTCTGCTGGGCACATCATTTCTTCCATGAGGACAGTTGCCTGGAAAAAAAAATTCTTTTATTTGTAGTAACAAATAACATTTCTTTTATTTGTAGTGTTTTGTAACTGCCTTCCTTCCCTGCTTTGCTAAGTCATATGCCATCTTGAGTCTGTATTAGCAGGGGAGCTGAAGATGGATGGGCCCCATCCTGAGACATCTAAAATGGCCTTGAATCAGAGAGATTTATTATGTCTTTTAGAGCGGAAGTTTAAGTTAAATAGTCTCAATCCCATTTGCAGCTTCCATTGATGTCCACAAAATTGACAGTATGATTCAGATGCTGAGATGAAAATACAATTCTCACTTGAATGCAGCAGAAGTTTCTCAACGTTTATTTTCCTGTCCTGAGGGGCCTTAACTAAGTTGGAGAAATCCTATTGTCTGAAGAAAGATTTTGCTGTGTTTTCATAGCAGCTTCTCTTTTGTATCGCAAATGCTATCATAAATAAAATTTACGACTTCCCTTTCAGAAAGGACAAGGAGCTCCAGGGCGTGAACCGCTGATTAGTCATGAAGAGCAAAAACAGATGATGCTGTATTACTACAGAAAGCAGGAGGAACTTAAGGTAACAGTGTCTTCTTACTGTACGTGAGCTGTGTGCGCTGTCGTAGACCCTAACTGCAGGTTACATTCATTACCGCCTTCTTAACCTGTCGGTTCTGTTTGCAGAAACTGGAAGAGGATGATGACGACTCGTTTCTAAATGCTGAGTGGGCAGACAACCATGCTTTGAAAAGACAATTTCATGGTGTAAAAGACATCAAATGGGGCCCGAGATGAAGTCTGCAAACACCCTTTTGCCTCTTTAAGCTGTTTGGTCGATACACTTGTTTGCAACGAGGAGTTGTGTTGTGTGCGGTAGAGACTGCTGACAAACAGCAGATGCCTCTTTCAGCCTTAGGTTTTCAATAAATATTTACATTTCTATGTAACTGTAGCAGCACTTGTCTCTGCAAAGAATAGACTCAATCCTGTTGAAGTTTGTTATTTTATTAGAAACTTGTACTTTGAATATTGAAATATTTAAACTATTTCATAGATAATTTATCTAGTAAATATGCACTAGAATGTTTGATCTTGTTTTGAGTGGTCTTTATACTTTCTTCGTGATTCTTGCATTTCTTTCAGATGGTACAGTCTGTAGAAGGTAATTCATTTTATAAGAAACCAGTTTTCCCAGGCTAATCCACTGGAAGTTAGCGATTTTTATGTGCTTGTTTGCATTTCAACATAGCTAGTTCCAAAGTATAATTTTTAAATGAGTTGACCTCTTAACAATTGTTTAAAGGAAGTATTTTTCTATAAACACAAATAACATGAAAATCCTTGTGAAATGCTTAATTTTCATTCTTTTGGTTTAGTTTTCATTGACATTGGAAGCCAACCTAGTGATCTCATTCAGTTTAAGAAGCCATTAGCCATGATGCATTTATCTAAAGATTGAAGAAATCTGTTTAAAAAAGTAAGCATCATTTGCAAGTAGATTGGCTAGCATAAAATCAAGTTTAATAGGGCAAGATCTCTAACATGGAAGTGCTTCTAAGGTTATGGCTGGATGAAAAGTGTTTAGTTTCTAACAAATCAGCATTTTAAAATGAGCAACAATGAAATTTATCAGAGAGTGTTTCCACTATATGCTTGATGTTTAGGATGCTGCTACCATTTCTAAAAAGTATCATCAGTCAGTTCTGGGCTCAAGACTAACAAGGGAAATGCTAGTAGACTTGAAGCAAATGTTGTGTCTGTTTTGGAAGGGAGGATTCTGATTGGGGATACTGTGTGACTAATGGATAATTAAATCTCTAGAATTATTGAGGTAGATAATTAATGTTTAGAAACAAGTTACTCAAGTTTTACACGTTTAGACTTCTCTGTCCTTAAAGGAGATGCTTTTCTACGGAGGCAGACATGCACCCTCGTCAGGTCGCTTGCTGAGCAGCAGAAAGCCAGGGTGCCCTGAAAATTCTGTGCAAGGATCAACTGAGCATTTTAAAAAGAGGTGAGGCGATGTGGGCGCTCACAGCCAACAACTAAAACAATGTTTTCGCTCACACCCCAGAGCAGTTGTCCCTAGGCCAGCAGGGAGCTGAGACCGCCCACCTTTTCGGTTCCGCACTGCAGCAAGGCAAGCCAGCTGGGGACGCTGGGTCTGTAGTTTGCAGTAGGCTTCAGGATACTGACTTGCCCCTGCACGCGTCTGCTTCAATTCCACCTGAGCCAAACTAGATTGTGTTCACAAACTACATCAGTCTCAAGAACAGGCAGTTGCTTGCCAGCACCTAGTTTAAGTCAAATTTTAATGTGAAGTTGTTTTTTGTTTTTTTGCAGGTGCCGCGTTACGGCACTGTGGTGCTGGGGCTGCTCAGCAGCTATGGAAGTCAGATGGGTTTTGTTTGCTGTCTGAACTTACACCCGCTTTTGACGTTTTTCATTGATAGTTTTTTTGTCTTATTCATGCTCTAATCCTCGTGTCAGGAGGGCTTAGTGGCAGAGACATTTGAAAACACAAACGTCTGAGATGATATCAGACAGAAGCTTCCTGCCTTGCCAAACCTGCCAGCGCGACAAGATAGAAGTAAATTCTGTGGTCGTTGACTGTCCGCTAAAAATACCTGGCTGTGGCTCTCCAGATTCACAGATCTCAATATTGCCGGCTTAAGTCTCTCTGCTCGTTTGAGTCATTGTAAAATAACAAAAAGAAAGTGTCTTGCTAGCTGTTTTTTTCCATTCCAAGAAAAAAATCATTTTCTTGAAGGATTAGTATGGTTGAAGAGATGCTGACCAAGTTAAACTGAAGCGTTTGTTGAACTTGCAGCTGGAAGATTGAATAGTGAAAAGAGAATTAATGCCATTAACTATTAATCATGTTTTTACTTCCATCACTGATTCTTTTACTTTTAGAAAAGTTTTGTGTCTGATAGTTTTTCTGGAATATCAACTTTACTTTAATATGCTCTTTTAAAAAAAAAAAAAAAAAAAAAATCAGTATGTGGGGTTTTTCTAAGCTGCATAACTTCCAATATTTTGTATTTTAAAACTACTTGAATTATTTCAATATGTGAAGACAATGGAGCAGGTTTTAAAAGAATACCTCGTTCTACCACTCTGTCAGATGAAATTCTGTACAGTTCTTTGGAGGTTTTTAACCATTTCTGTAGCTGAAGGCTTTCTTCCTAACATCTAATGTCTAAGTCTTAATGACTTAGGGGTGTTGCACATTTGTTTCCCTCTTTTCCAGCAATGTTCTAAAATACTGATGTCCTTTTGGCATCAAGAAAAAAAAATATGTAGCCCTGTCTATAAGCTTCTGAAGCAAGTTGTGTGGCAGCCTGGCACATTTTGTATCCAGGGGGGAGCTGTAACCTGGCGGTTCCCCAACTAAATACCTCCAGGGATTGCTTTGATTCCTGTGCTGCTTGTGACAACGCTTCCCGCTCCCCAGAATCTCATCTTTTCTGTTGAAGAAGCCAGCTGAGGACAGCCAGCTGTGCCATGAGGTTTTTGTCCTGCCGACCTGGGAGGGAGCTTCCCGAAAGACGGACTTGCCCGTAAGCTACCTGGTCTAGAGACCCGCCCTGGGTTGCAACATGACCTTACCCAGCAGCGCTGATTTATTGGCATTTATGCACGCCGGTAGTTATTTGCCTGCTCCTCATCGTTTGAAAGCAGCTTATTTAGTTGTTACTTTAGTTTAGTCATAACTGTGTTGAGATTAGCGGCCTTGGCAGGAAGCTTCCCAGATGTTTTGGATCAGTTATAATGAATGCTTGAAAATATCCGACTGAACCCCTCCTACAAAAAGAGCTTTCATCTTAGATTAGTATTATTCCGAGGAGTTTGTTCTGTGGGCTCCCCGTCCCGTAAATAACTGAAGTCATCGCTGGCTTCTGGCCATTTGATTTGACGTCCTTGATACCAGAAAAGTACTCAATAGCAGAGGAGGCAAAATGAGAATCATGTAAGCGGTGAAGTATCTGTGCTCCCCGGATCTCGCTCGTTAAACCTGGCTGCACATCCACCAGCAACTGCTTCCCCATGGCAAAACCCTATGGCGCCGCTAGCGCCTTCCTCCCGGCAGAGCTGTCTCTGCAGCTGGCCATCCCTGTCGGAGGAGCCCCCAGCGGCTTTATTCTGTTTCCAAGACTTCGTGAGAGTTACTGTTACAGTGAAAAAGAGACTTTTGGATTACCGTTGCATGGAGGATTCTGAAAGGGGGAGCGTTCGAACGGGACCTTTGTTTATGGTGCATATAATATTGCCATTTCCTCTTTAGAAGTGAAGGAGAATCAGGTGTAGGAAGTAATTAACGGAGAAGAATCTCCATTTTATTCTATGTATCTTTGACTGTGATCTCCACTGTATAATTGGCCGTTTTCTTCTTTAGTGGAGAACGCAGTCTGTAGGATCGATGCTCTTCTGGGTTCTCACAACGGCATCTGTGGATCTGCTGGATTCAGTTCTTGTGGCTGAAACGGAAGGAACTTGCTGGAGGAAGATGAAAGAGTATGGGAACAAAGCAAAGCCTATAGATATTTATATAGCTACTGTAAAGAATTTGAGAATTATGAGATAGGAATG